CCCTGGACGCTGTGGCCTCCCAACCTCCCACGGAGCCGCTGGAGTCTCTCCCCCGCCTCTCCTCCCGTGCTGTTGGGGTTCAGTGTCCTGACCCAGCATCCCTGTGGCAGTGTCCCCCTGACGGTTGTTGCGTGGGCACTTGTCCTCATGCTCCTGCCTTCTTCCTTCCCGCCCAGCATGTGGCCCCAAGAAGGCTGGCGCCAGGGTCCAGGCCGCCCGCCAGCAGCCACAGCGGCCCCTGCGGCCCCGGGAGCCCAAGGCACCCAAGGAGATCCCCCCCGAGGCCGTGAACGAGTATGTGGACACCATGGAGGCTCTGCTGGGGCCCCTGTCGGGGGAAGCCCTTGGAGAAAGCCTTGAGCCTGAGAAGGAGCAGCCGGAGGAGCAGGGAAACTACCCTGACCCGGGTCTCCTGAGCTACATTGACAAGCTGTGCTCCCAGCAAGACTTTGTCACCAAGGTGGGCGGCACACGGCGCTGGCTTCCGAAGGTTCAGGGTGTGGCACTCCCAGACACGTGTGGGTTCTGCCCAGGCCCTGGCGGTGAGGTTCTGCCCCCTGCTCCCGAGCGGCCGATCTAGCCAGTGTGCTTGGCGTCCACGCTGGTGGGAGGCGTGTGCGCGTGTGCGCGTCGCGTGTGCGCGTGTGCCCCCAGGTGTGCACGGGTGTCTCCGGGTGTGCTCGGTGTGCGCACGGTGAGCGTGTGCCCGCATGTGTGTGTGCATGGTGTTTCTGTGTGTTTGCGCAACTGTTGACGTGTGTCCCTGTGTGTTGTTTCAGACGTGTGTGCTCCTGTCCTTACCCAGGAATCGTGTGCATGTCCTGTGCACGCGACACGTGTGTGCACGCACGTACCCGCTGCCGTCCACGTGCGTTTGTCCGTGTGCAGAGCCGTGTGCCTGTGCCACGATGGTCTAAAGCACCCTGCCTCGTGCACGCGGGCGGCTGGGCTGTCCTCTCACTGCTCCAGGTCAGCGCTGCTCATCACCGTCCCCCCTTCTGTCCCAGGTGGAGGCGGTCATTCACCCCCGCTTCTTGCAAGATCTGCTCTCCCCCGAGCCAGAGCTGGATCTCTCAGCCCTCGCTGAGGAGCTGGAGCAGGAGGAAGGGCTGACCCTGGCAGAGGTGAGTGGGGCTCAGACACCTAGGGCACCAGGGGACAGGGCCCCCTCAGAGCAGGGACGCGAGAGCCCCAGGACAGGAGCCTTGTGTTCCCCTGTGCTCCCTGCTGCCTGGGAGGCGTGGGCGGGGCTGGCCCATGATGGGGTACAGGTGGCCCTGAGAAGGACCCTTGCGGGATTGCAGTGCGGGGGACACGGGGCTGGGAGAAGTTGCAGAGATGGCGATGCCGCCACCTGGAGATGAGCCCCGGGATCATCCTCCCCTCCTACTGGAGCGCCATGGATCCCCCCTCCCCGCGCCTGTCCCCTCCTGCTCTGCAGACCCAGTCACTGTACCTCTCTCTCCCAGCTGGTGGAGAAGCGCCTCTCGGCTCTGAAGGAGGAGGGCGCCGAGCTGGACGTCCCAAGCCGCGGTGCCCCCGAAGTGGCCTCGAGCGCCCTCAAATCTGATGCGCTTGGCTCCCAGCCAGGGGCCAGTGGTGAAGGGCACCCTGGAGAGCCTGACTGTAAGGCCTCTGGAAGACCAGGCCGAGTGGACGCTGGCCTGTCCAGGCCTGGCACCGCAGCCCTGTCTGCGGGACAGCAAGCGCCCCCTCCGATCCGGGCTGGACGCCCCGCGGGTCCCCCACCGAGTCTGAGACAGGCTTCCTCTCGCTTGGGCAGCGGGCACACCTGCCTTCTGGGGGAGACCTCTGCGCCAGCAGACAGGTCCAGCGAGGACGAGGAGGAGCTCCCCAGTCTGGCCTTCCTTCTGGCCTCTCAGCACAGCCTGCTGCCCTGGGGGCTGGCCCAGAGCCCTGTCCCAGCCTCGAAGGCTAGCTCTGGCGGTCAGAGGGCGCGCCAGGTCCCTCGTCCTCAGAGGAGGGGCCTCAATCCAGCTGCCCCTCGTGCTGCCAAGTCTCGGAAGCGCCCTCTGAGTGTGGGCCCAGCTCCTGTCAACAAGACCGCCCTGGCAGGGTTCGGCCTGGGGCTCTCTGGGAGGCCAGCCTTGCAGCCTGGGCTGCTGGGCCCTTCCCTGGCTCCCAAGAGAAGGTGTGAGCCTCTGGCCCCAGGGAGGAGGAGGAAGCGCCATTGCAGCCAGTAGGCAGCAGCAGGAGGCGCCTTTGGGGTTTCCCCAGCCCCCAGGGCCAGGGGCCCTACCTTTGTCTTGCTGTCCCCAGGGGAGGACCCC